TGGAAATTCACTAACGTACGACGTGGCCTGTATGTAATTAGTGCGGGGTTTCGTTGCTCACGATATCTTGATTCCCCCGAGAAGCTCGCTCGAGAATATTTCCTCGAAAATTCTCAGCAACTGGTTTCCGAGAAAAGCATTTGACGCTCATTTTGTCCAGACTTGCACAAAATCGGTGCAACTTTTTTGAACAGTGTCTTTTCCTCATTCTCTGCCTCCGTCAGTCCGTTTCTTACCACATGTCCCAGGCAACCCTTTTTTAGCTATCTCCCCCTCCCGCTTTTTCGAGTCTTGCATGCATTTCAAGTTGCCGAGTCATATGCAGGGGTGGCTTCTTCGGACTTCCATCGACTGGAGGGGGCTATGATGCACATGTGCATGGAAAGGTTTTATGGAAGGAGAAACGGATGGCCAGAGTAATCTGTCAGTGTTACGTTATGTTATGTTTTGCTGCAGTTATCGGGGTGAACTGGTTAAAATATTTCTACATCTGCGCACTGCAAGTTGCACTGTGCGGTTGTCCATACACACAAAAAAGATAGTCCACCGGAAGACAGTGCCGTTTTTGTCCCTTCCCTTTTTACCTGCCACCCGAACAAAGGTTGCTGCGTTGCGCAACCTTCTACAGGGTGACCAAAAAGTTCTGGCAATTTTTCGGAATTACTTCGGTAGCATAAAAAATACCGTTCGAAAAAGGAAATCAGCCAACTAAACGTCTGGGAGTCTTCATCTAATCAGTACCAATGACCGTATACAACAAAGTTCCAACAAGTGTTCAAAAATGCCTCCTTCAGCCTCAACACATTTACGTAGTCGTTTTCCAAAGTGTCCGACAATGGTCGCGCATTCTTCTGCTGTAGTTTGGTCCCAAACACGCAGCAACGCCACTTTCAGGTGGTAAACCGTTGCGCATCGAATTCCTGAGATTTTTCGACCCAGATGGAATAATCCATGGGGTTCGGACCATGCTAGTTGGGAGGCCAAACGTCCTTGCCCCAAAATCGGGAAACAGCTCTTCACAAGCGGCAGTTCGTGGGTTTGGCAGGATGTGCTGGCTCCCAGTCTTGCTGAAGCACATGTCCATCCGGGCCGAAGTGCTACGACACCCATGGCTTCAGTACATCGCGGAGAACGCGTTGTTGGGAGTAGACAGCATTAATCTTTACGATGCGCTCGATGAAGAAATGAGAGGTCTTTCCGGTGGCACAGATCCCGCCTCAGACCGTGACTGAGGCTGGAAAGAGTCTGTGTCCGACGGATTTCACAGCCGTTGCCTTCTGTTGACCTGTTCTGAGGAGCAGACAACACTTCCGGTAGTTGTGATGCGGAAAAATTTTCTCGTCGTCGGTGGCGAGCACATTCTTCGAGCAACAAGCACCGACCAGAAGATGGGTTTCAACAACTGCAACTTTTTGATTTTTTCGAGACAGTGCGAGGAGAAATCGAAAGTGATTGGATAGATGACTCGTACGGTAGTTCGAAATGGCTTGCGGAATACAAATAACCCATCGGAGAGAAAACAGACCATAATGGCCATTCAAAAACGCACAAACACACGAAATTGCCAGAACTTTTTGGTCACCCTGTATTTATCTGGCAATCGGTGTTTTTTGCCAAACACAACTCCTATGCTCCTGCGTAAGAACAAACCCTCCTCGACAACTACTAGGTTCCTTTCTGCGAGAGTAGCGGAGCGAATTATCTAGGTGGAAGAAAGTCCTGTTCAGTGTTCATGAGATGTTGCCTACAGTTTTTGATCTTTGGAGCTCGAACATGACGTAACATGTTATGGTTGTAGAACATTCTCGAAGCTTTTCCACAAGAGGTATATCAAGGCTCCTGCTTTTCCCTGTGTTTATTTATGATGTCAGTTTCACTGGAGCAGCTTCGAGTGATCATCTTCTATGAGTGGCGCCGCGGCACTGGAGCGACGGCAGCGGCCCGTAACATCAACTGTGCCATTGGGGAGGACACCACCACCGTCAGGACTGTCCACCGTTGGTTCGCTCGCTTCGCGAAAGGAAACGGAGAAACGATCTTCGAAGGCAAACCTCGTCGGAACCGCCCTTCACGCGGGTGGAAGACCACCCGCCGACATATCGAGGAGCTAGGCTGAGAGACCGTACCACATCCACCATATTCTCCAGACTTAGCCCCCTCCGACTATTACCTGTTCCGCTCCCTCAAGGCTTTCTTAGGTAAGAAAACCTTCAGCGAATTTGATGACATCAGTCGAGAAGTTGCCTACTTCTTCGACTCGCAGCCTCCTCAGTTCTGGGAGAAGGGGATAGCTGACTTGCCCATTAGGTGGAGCACTGTAGTGGCTAACAATGGCGATTATATTATTGATTAGTTTTTATTTCATGTTGAGTTAGAAAATAAAAAAGAAAAAATCACAACAGTGACAGGACTTTCTTTCCAACCTATATTATTATGAGCCACGACCAAAAGGCAGTTATATTCGATTCAGCCCGAGAATCTGTGTATTCGTTTTTGCTGGACACGCAAAGGCGTGTCAGGGGGCCTGCTTTGGCGCGGCGCCAGCCCGTTGTCCGTCAATCGTTGAAACGGGGCAAGCGACAACAGTCTATGGAAAACAGGCTAGCGACACTCCAACTCCATTACCCTGACAAGTCCCATCGTCTGGTCTGCAGCGAAAAGGACCACACATTTTTCATAAAGGCTGCTAGAACAGCAGAAGATTGGATGGTGATTTGGGTTGAGCAGTCTGTTACGATTGTTTAAGTTCTGCACTTTCGGTCGTGAGTGCAACTGGGCTCTCACCATTCACATTGGAGATCACTCCGTAGTTCGCAATTCAGGGCTTTTAGCCTAATCGCGAGAAGTCTCGGGTCGTCCTTGTCAACGCCTGCTCATAGTGGTGCTTAGTGAGCGTGAAGATTTTTCCTGTCACACTTTTATTACGAACCTTGATAAATCTATCCTTGAACGCAAGGCTTCGCTACATCCTCTAGGAATGTGAGATGACCAAAGAATACCGTGGAGCAAGCCTCACATGTTGTATTTTTCAACAGAAGACTTTCTCTAAGCATCGCAACAAAGCTTAAAGGCCGTTGGCGCGATAAACCCCCCCCCCCAAGACGACTAGATCAATACGCCTGCGCAGATTGATTCCGCGACCCCTGGGGAGGCGCTGCATAGCAGTTTCCCCGAGGAAGGTATCCTTATAAGGGCCCTATCAAACCGCAACTTTACGTCCCAAACGCCCGTCCACAGATGGACGACGTTCCTGACGCTCGTATTCGTTCATTGCTAAGCAAATTGATGAATCAGAAGGGATTGGTATGAAGCGGCCGTGATACTGCACGCATACATGGGTACACATATGCAGACGTATGGTAGCGGTGATTGGCAAGATGCCTACGGGAAACTCGTCCGAAATCGATTTTCAAGTCACTGAGAACGGAGGCTTTTTCTTCGCAGGATTTTGACCGTTTCACTCCGTTCTTTCGCCATTTCCCCACTATACAGCACCCTACTAGCATTTAGGCTAAGTGCGGCAACATCGTCCAACCTTTAATCTACTCCCATCCGTACTCCCTCCAACAACGACACGCCCTCATAGGGGTCGCACCGATCAGCAATTGATCACGTTCGGACGAGCTGTTTTCGCCCACAATCTGCGCCTCAATAGCGCTTTTTTTCCTAAGGTTTCTTCTAAAGAGATAGATCTTGTCGGTAACGAGAACATCTCCCTTCGGCACAGTGCAAGGTTTTCCTTTGGAAGCAGGACCCGTTTTGGAGTTTCAACTTGATTTTACTTTTTTGGCTGTTCACTTGATTACCGCGAATTGTCGACAGCCGCTCTTTGACCAATTATTCATCCCGGGCTTAGGTTCGTATAGGTCCAGATTGGAGTGGGGGCTCTATTCCGGGGATTTCTGTCGTTTCCCGGATTTTGCTTTGCTGTCATATCACTCAGTGCCTCTACTGTTTTTTTCTGCAGGTAATCGTGTCCACTGCCTTTAAGTTTGACCGACACAAAACTAGAACTGGAATCCTTGGAGAGAGAAGTGTAACGTCGCCATGCTTCAGGGCATTATCTTTCATGACTGCACCCTGCAAGTCAAACTGGTCAGAAAGCGCACTGTGATTGAGTGCCCATTTACCTCAAGTGTGTGCCATGTGAGTTTCACTGATGCGTGAAATGCGCTAAGTGATTTTTTGCTCCACCTCCGTCTATGAGGCATGGGCTTAAGTTATGCAGGCGTGTCTGACGTTTGAACCAATGATTCCTCATAACGTGCTGTTTGCTTTCTTGCTTAGAAATGCTTCTTGCCCGGAAGAAAAGCAACGGAGTTCTCTTTCGTATTTTTATTGCCCTTTAATGATTTAAACGTAACCAATTTTTGGCCAAATACGTGATTGCATAAATACAAATGTTCTTCTATTGGAGATGGGAATTAGTTTGTCTTATCCAACACCTGTATTTAGATCGTGCTTGTATTTTACATTAGTTTAGGTTCGAGGAGATGCCAAGTGAAGCTTTCCCACCGCCGCCCACTGAATACCGCGAAACACTCAACGAGCACACAGGCGTTGTTGAAAGTAGTTCCATTATTCAAGTAAGTTGATGTTCATCCGCTAAACTTGGTGAAAGGTCCAACGTCGCAATGCCTCGGTATATTGGTATGCGGTCTGTTCGATAACTTACAAATCCAAGTGAATTGGAGTTACGCTCCATATCCCAGCGATCGAGTGGGCGTGGCGAGGTACTTAACCCGAAGCTAGCGTGATGCATTGTTCGTGGAATATTCTATTTTATGCGAGTGCTGTTTGTTCTTGTACTGGTCAAAGTCATTATTGCAACTGTTCTAAAACTGCTATATCCCTAAAGGCGCAGCTGCCGCCACGCTTAAGTGAAGTACGCGATCACAGTCTCTTCCATCTCCGGGATATGGAGTGTATGTAGGGTTTCATCTTATTCGAATGAAGAATAGCACCGTTCGGCAGAATTTACAGAGAGGAAATTTAGATGGCCTTGCAAACAAAGCATGTAATATATCAAGCAGACGGCATCGATTAACCGAAGAGGGCGGTGGTACATAGGGCGGTGAATATGGAGCGCTTCGAGAGCTTTTTTACCTGCTATCTGCTCAAGAGCCTTGCCCGAGTGAGAGATGATGAGATTTTTGGGAATCGTGCAAATGTTCCACGTTAATTGTTTTTGCTATGTGCTCTGCAGGAGCAATAACGTCTTCTATCTCATCCCATTAATTAGAACAATCTCAGTTTACAACTGCTAGCCGTATCCGAGACTTAACTCTAGGGCTCATGCCAGTACCTTATGTACTTTGCTGTGCCTTTCCACTTTATATTCTTGAGATGGGGAGAGCGTTTGAGATGAGTGTAATACATTTGGACGTGGCGGCGGCTACGCTTTCAGGGAGTTACTGCAGTTTGGTGAGTGTAAGTTACATGGTAGAATCACAACTGGCTGAAGGAGGAAGCAAAGTGGAAGCGCTAACGTACATTTGTCGTCAAATTGTCGGGAAAAATTCCCAGCTTCAACGAAATATTAAATTAGAAAAAAGGCCATCAGAGATGGGCCAGCTCATTGCTTACGGACAGAGGAATGATATGTAGTTGATGTCGTTGCAATCCAACTGACCGGTGTTGACAGCGAGGAGTGACCCCCATCTGCGGCTGCGTTTTCTACCAATAGTGGCTAGTTCAGGTATGTAAAAACAGCCATTGGTAGACAAATTAGCGGGTGGGCTTCCACGCCTTCTGACGCCGGCCCGCCAAAATAGAAGGACATCAGTTGTGAATATGATCACGGCGAAATCCAGCATCACGCCGCGGTAAATTGCTAGGGCAGTACGACCGTCCAGAAGGGGGTATCCATGCAACCTTCATCTTCCACTGGCTCTCAAGGTGTTGGTTTTTTTGTTGCCTCCTACGTCATGAGGTTGGAGTGCTATATGACCGACTAAATTTCCATTGAACTTCCATCCCTACTACATAGAACAGTGAATAGCCACAAGCGTGTATGAACCATGGATAATCTGCAAACGATCTTCTGCAAGCTTAAGGCAGGGTCTGTGATATCTGGGACATTCACAGAAGGAAGGTGCAAAGAAATGATTACTTGCAGGGGCGTGAAGGTTTTTGCTCAAGCCCATAGAAAGAGTCTCGAATAATTAACAAATAGTTACAGCTAATTTCGAGTAGTTACAGCTTAGTCGCGCGAAAGAGGATATACACACTTTTAATAGGTAAAAGGATGAAGTCTTCGTGTTGATCAATCCCTTTGTGGGATGCGGCACGCATTCTACTTCCATTCAGAATCGTAGTGGCTTATTGAATGCGATGTGGCCTATACAATGACTTGCGGTGGCCAGCCGATGTACAAGTCAGTGTTTTATCCTCCCAGACGAATCTGGTACCAATTTACCGTCCCCGGAGGGTAGAAGGCTTGGTTGGCCTGGGCGGGAGTCGACCCGGGATTTGAACCCGGGCCCGCGAGTGGTAAGCGCGCCACTTGTCACTACACCACCTCCGCCTCACATTTCGTAGGTGGCAGTTTATATTTTTAACTCGCCCCCATCGTCAACTCACCCAAATCTCCTAGCTTACTTTGCTTATGTCTATCCAACTGTGATCTTATTAGAAGCGAGTTTAGATTGCTACGCGACTTCTACAAGAGGGTACAAGAGTCAGTTATGTTTCATTACATCACTCTTGTGACTATGAGTATGTAACCGCTTGCTCTACCACATTATATCATTTCTCTTTTTCTATCGAGTGGAGGCGACCTGGTGGCAAGTGAAGTCGCCTACCACATGCTCGGTTTGGATCCCGGATCAGCTGCTGCTGGGGCCGCCCAAGATTCTTATTCCTAAACCGCTGGTGGATTGGTGTCAGGTTTGCTTGAAAAAAAACAAAGAACAAACACTGACCTGCACGTCAGATTTACTCCACAAGTCATTGTAAAGGCTACAGTGATTTTGAAGTGCCACTATGAATCTAATGCGAAGTAGATTGCGTGGCGCATCCCAAGGGAATTTATCAACGTCGGAAGCTCTTACCTTTATTCCTTTTTCTGTCTTCTCTTCCACTATAGCTCTTTTGCACCTTGTACTCCGACTTCTCTTGTAATCATTGATAACAGAGTATGTTTCACGAGTTTTCCTCTACCTCAGATCCGGCTCAGATATACCGGGGGCAATGAAAAAAGACACTTCTCTTCCTCGACTTTCAAGGCGCTATAAGTTACACTTTATTAAATTCTGATTGGACATTTCCACCATCATATTCAACAACACATTGTACACTATCACGAAACTCCGCCACAGCCTCCTGGACGAACGCCATCGAGAGATTCTGCCACGCGACCGTGATTCGGTGCCTGAGTTCAGCGAGGTCGTTGATTTCTCCGCCACTGTAGACCACCCTGTTGAGCTCCTTCCGAACCCGGTAATCGAGGGGGTTTAGGGCAGGTGGCACACTTGGATATTCGTCTTCTTCAGGTTCTCAACGCCCTTCCGATTCCAAGTAGGCGAGAGATTTTCTGACATCCTTCGATACCATGTGGTGACACCCAATCCTGTAGCAGCACGAACCAAGATAGTACAGGCGACGAAGGCAGGACATTCTCCTCGAGTTGTTTGATGTATCGCTAGTGGTCATCTCCAGTCCCGGGTCCACAGAGGAATATCGGTGTTCTCATTCAGGAACTTCCGGTCCATACCACAACCCGCGCCTTGGCGACTGCGGTGAAGATGATATCCTAGACCGTAGCGACGTTGTCGGAGCTGCTCGATGTTGGAGGTCTTCCAGATCAAGAGTACTGGTCTCCAGGTAGCTGGGTGACTCCATACTAGAAGTTTCGCAGCTGTTTGGAGGTGACATGAATTCCAAAGGTCTTCTCCAGTCAGGCTGCGACTGGAGATGACTTCATATTTTGGTGTACATGAAGGTGATGGGCGAGAGCCAGCTCCTGCTTATCGAGGAACATCTTGGGTATCTTCCGCTCTGATACTCGTATCCAATTTGGCACCGTGCCAAAATGGAGCGTGTCATTTTGGCGCGGTGCCAAACCGTTCTCTTCTACTGTCGAAATGAGCATTCCACAACTCTGTATCATATGCTTCATATCATTTGTTTTTTACCAAATGTTGTCGCATACCTGCTTCAACAATTGGCCGAGATCGGTTTTTTTTACCGAGGCACACTCACACTGCCTGGCACGCCTCTTCGTCCGCTGCAGGATAGAAGAGTTATACAAACTCTATCTCTATCTACAATCTCAAAATCTACGATCAACGCCTCTAAATCCGTAGCCGTAAAGACTTGACCATAATTCAATTGTTACATTACGTCTGACTCTGCCAGACGCTTCTCAGTAGCTTCTGATCGGGTCAGGTGGGGTAGTTAGGCAAGTCAGCAACTATATACCTATGAAAAACTATCTGTAAGAGGTAAACATCGGGGGGGGGTACATATTGAGCTATACAGATTGTCGCCTTACTCCTAGTACTCGCTTTCGAGCATGGGAACTCCCCAATGAATTGAAAACTTTCACTTTCAGCCTTGTTCGTCGCGTGATCAAGACGACACCGATATCGAGGAGGAGATTATCAACTCCTTCAATAAGAAGTCATTCATTGTGCCGAGTAAAAGTCAAGTGCTCTTCTACTTGTCTACATCGCGACATCTTCGGATACACCACACCGGATGTGAACTTCAAGTGAGTCAAGCTCATTTTTATATTGCCCTTTTTAAGTTCGTTTGTTTTTGAGTGAACTTTCACTGAACAAATCCTCCAAGTATATCTCATCTCACCGAAAAGTGAATGAAAAAATCGTTCGGTCGCTAGGTGCTCTTTACGGGGACAAATTATTCAGGCACCTTGGAGCTTACCTATAGTTTCCTGGCGGACCTCCCAACTTGTTTATCACTTGTCTTGCTTGTCCGGAACATGTTCAGTTGACGGACAGCTGTCGTGGATAGGCGAGCTGAGGTTACGTGGACTCGTCATTCTTTTCTGATTTGATCTCCAATCGGCGACGTTTCCGACGTTTGTGCGCTACGAATCTCATCTAGAGCTAGCTATTATGTTGGACCGAAGGTCTCGAACCCATTTCCAGAAAATTATAGTAGTTTGTTGTGCGGGGATATCGGCCGAAAGAAGATCAAGAGACCACTCATGACTCACTACGCATGTGACTACTGTTCGCTTTGCGGGCAGGGGAAAGGGGAGAGAAGGGGGTAGGGGCAAGAGCATCTTATACTCCCGCTAGTTCCTTTTGTTATTCCATGCTAACTAACAGATCTTAGTTCGGTGAGGCTTGTCAACTCTTGTAAAGCTGCGAAGAGGTACAAGTGATTCACTTTAGCTACAGAAATCCACGTCTTACGAGTTCGCTTGTATAAACCTCGGTGAGTACCATCTGGTGCTCCTACCGTGCAGAACTGCGCCCGCACGTCCAACGGCTCACCCCGAACTTGGGCGGCTGCAAAAGGGGGGGGGGCGAATTATCACTTTCCAACTATTTGCAGCTGGCAGCAAGAGTGAGCCTGTATCAACCTAAGTTTCTGCGTCGGCATACTGAGTCGACGTTCTTCGCAAGAAGAACTGAGAGGGGAGGGCGCTATAGGGAGGTTTTGCTATGTTGGCGATAGGATTCAAAGGGAATGCTGTTCTTCCATTTGGTAATGTGCCATAAAAAAGAGTTCCTTGTGTTAATTGCTTAAATCTGAGTGGCTGAAAAAAAGTCTAGCATCATTTTTCCAAACCGTAGTTGCGCTAAATTAAAGTGATGCGCTCTTCTGGGTGATCCCTGAGAGATTTGTTCGCCTTCGGATAAGACGACTTACTGCAGTAAAGTGCAATCAGATAGGTGGCGGCTTACACTGAAAGCTTCGGCATCTGTACCCGACATTGGTCGAAAGAAAGGACTTCTGCGAATACACGAAATGTGCGGCCACCTGTAACACAACGGGTGCTGCAGATTTCGAAGGAGATAGGCTATAAAACCGTATATTACCCACAGAATCCGCTGGACCTTTCGCCCGTTGATTACAGCTTCTTTGAACGTGGACATCTTCCTGTCAGAGCAATGGTCCATCAACCTAGCCCGTATAAAACTACCTTCACCTAATGCACCAACTGTAGGTCATCAGGTTCAAGGAATAAGCTAACTTCTTTTTTTGGAAGACTTTTGTCAATAAAAATTTCTATTTCAATCGAAAAGGGATATTCAACGAGAGAAATTCCTTTATAAAAATTGAGGTCGAAACACCGCGCTACTCAAGAGACAGCCTACCACTTCCCCATTCATTAGTAGTTTCGACCACTTTGGACGAGTTTTGGGTTTTGCGTGTCACTGAACTTCATTAGCATTCTGCTTCAGTGCGCCCGAAGCCCAGTCATCGATCTAGGGACACGAGTGAATTATCACTCCTCTACCAATTCGCGTGCTCATGAAAGCCAACGCGCTAGAAGAATAGCCGCATTGTGCCTTCTCTTGAGGGGAACCGTTACATCTTAGCACTGGGGACGCGTAAGCACTCGCAGGATCACATAGCGTTCCTTGGTCCATTCGCATTCAATTTTTTTCCTCATTTCTCACCCGCTGGCATTCCCATGGGCCGTTAAGCCGCGAATCGGATTGAAATCTCTTACAGTAGTGCGATTTGATCAGTGGGGCAAACATCCATTAGCTGGATAATGACATTTGGATCGTGCCTAATGTAGTACACATCCGCTCTACATGACTGAGTGCGCATGTGGTGACGCAAAAAGTAAACTTCAATTGTTGTGTCTTCTACATCGAAATTCGATGGGGTGAAATGGCATGGAAGACGGGATAAGGCTTTGATTCGAGGCTAGTGGAAAGATGCTCATAGTGCTGTTACATGCTCTGTAGAGTGAACCCTATTAAGATAAATGATAGAGTCATAGAGTCAATCAAGAGCGCAAGTCTAATAATCCTACAGCGCATTACTGCACCTGTCACTACTTACGATGAAAATCCATCTGTAAGTTCCTATCGGATCCTGGTTGTCGCCATGTGCGAGGTGAACGTGTAAGCTGTAGTAGCCTGTCACCTTCTCCTAACGGAAACGCACGTGAAAGAGCTGCAGATAAGGCTGCGTTCTTACTTGCGGCAGCGTCCACCAGCAACGCGTCCGTCAGCGACAGGGAAAGTCTCGATTAAGCGTCTACCAGCGAACACCAGCGTCCATTAGCGACCAGGAGTGGACAGCATGGAAAAGTGGGGGGGGGTGGTATCAGGCTGCTGGTAGAGAACGGGTAAACGGGTAATTAGGAGGAAGGGGGCAGGTGGATTAGACGTCGTGAAATTGTCGCGTGTGCAGTCGTACTACTACGCAACACCGTACTCTTGGTCGCAGATGGACGTTGTCACTGGTGGGCGCTGGTGGACGCAAGATCGATATCCACACGTTCATAGTCCCTCGAGACGCTGATGGTTGCTGGCGGACTCTGGTTCGCTAATGGACGCTGCTTCATCCATTAGTATGAACGTATGAAGTATGAACGCAGCCTTAACAATTTCTAAGTGCCGCTTGCGGCCCCACACAACCAAAACCAAATGGTGCCACTCGTCTGCGTCTCCTTACCTCTGGTTGTTTTCCACTGAGTGCGCTTTTCGCTGCGAGATTTCAGTATGGACGCAATGCTGCACCTTGGGGATATGCCGAAGCTCAAATTGCACCTGGTTGCCTGAATGTTTCAATGAAACATCTTCAGTGGACTATTTTGCTTACTCTCAGAATAGCATCACAAAGCGAATTTATGTCGCTTCTGAGTTTTTTTTCTCCAGCGAAAAGGCTCAGAATGGCTAATGTCCGAGTAACAGTCATATGCGCTTCCAGATCTTTCATATTGATAAACAAATCAATTCATATCGATGAATTTCACACCCCATGCGAAGTACCGCCCTTGTACAGTCATGATGTATACTCGAGATCCCTGAGATCGGGTAGGCGTGGCCGCATGTTTCAACTTACCCTTAAGGCGTCTACGCTTCTGATGCGATATTTTCATCTCGACACAATCGTTGTCGTGTCTCTGTCCAACACAGAACAAGATGACAGTTGTCCCAGACTGGAATATTCCACTAGTAACCAGTTCCTTACAGTGTTCGAATGCTCCGCCTACCCGATCTCAGGGATTTCGAGTATATGCAGACGATAGGGCGTGTGACGCGGCGCAGATTGCAGTGCAGCCAGGGCTTCATTTTTCCACCAGTGATGCCATGCTGAGTCCGATATGCTTATGGGAAATCTGACCTAGTCCTCGAGCTATGTCCCCGCCATATGCCCCATCGTTTGCAGGGATCATGACTGGACATGTCACTCACCCTTGGCATAATATGCAATAAAACCCCGAAAACTCACTTATTTGTAACAGTGGAATAAGGGTGGGGACATAGATACGTATGTACACAGCTGATCAGTTCATTCAGTTTGTTCTGGCTGTTCAACAGGTTCTCATCATTCACATATATGTATGGTCATCTGCCCTCTTGCCAGTAAACAGGATAAGCTTTTCTGGCCATCAATTCAAAAATGAAAGCAAGAGAAACGCGTTACCTATTTCTTATGTCTTTATTTCAGGTCACAGATTCTGCCGATTTCCCTCTTTTTGACATATGGGCCGAATCCGCTTGTTGTGGCCGGCCAGTATGGGTGATGGAGTCTTACGGTAAGTTTAACTATCCTCAGAGGTCTTTGGGTAGAAGCACGTTCAATAATTCAAACCCCCTTCCCCCTCCCTTGAACCGAACACTGAAAAAATCCATCATTACATTGAAAGCACTCTGTGCGATTGGTGAAACAATCACTTCTACGGGTGAGACAGGCTTATTAATCATTTAAAAAGTTGCTTCGATTTGCAGCGGGATTATACGTGGAAGAGCGCTGGGACCTTACATTCCTAGTAATTTTCAGTCATCAAGTTAGTCTCCTCTTTATGGCATCTTCTCCGATTATTTGACTCCACTGTCCAGCTTTATGCGCATTTGTACAACGGGGGTAGCACCCCATCCTTGTACAAATGCGCATACACCTGGACAGTAAGTTACCTGACACCTAACAATGCTGTGGCGGAAGGTATAAGCCGAAGAAACTTTAAAGGCAGTTTTCACGATGATTTGGTGCTCGGCATAAAATGCTAGTAGGGAGCTGTATAGTGGGGAAATGGCGAAAGAACGGAGTGTAAACGGATCAAAATCTTGCGAAGAAAGAGCCTCCGTTATCATGTGTTAGAAAATAAATTTTTGCGACTAGTTTCCCTGTAGGCATCTTGCCAATAACCGCTGCCGGAGGTGTATATTGTGCACTCATGTATCCAAGCAGCATCTCGGCCGCTTCATACCAATCCCTTCGCTTCATAATTTGCTTGGCAAATGAATCGATTAGAGGCGTGCAGGATCGTCGTCATTTATGTGGCGGGCGGTGTGAACGGGCGTTTGAGTCGTAATGTTGTAGCTTGGTAGGGCCCTTATAAGGGCACCTCCCTTAGAAACGGCACTACGCAGTGCCTGCTCAGGGTCGCGGACTTCCATCCTGGGAGGTGTATTAATCCTACTCACTTCAGAGGATTCCTCGTGTCAACTGCCTTCAACCGTAGAAGCAAGCGCAACCATCAAGGGTGCGATAAGTCAGCATGCATAGGTTTGATGCGTTCGCCTATTCTGTGTATCACCGGCATTTATCATCCAGCTCATCTTCTAGCTAGTCTTTCCCCTCTTTCATCTTTCGCTGTAGTGTCCCAACCCGCGGCAGCGCAGTGTTCGCTTCTCCCAAGTGTCTGCGCGCCAACCCTGGTTACTCATTGAGGGCGCCTCCAAAGGTTTTGTCTGCCCTTGTTCTCTGGCAAGTGAAATGGTGTCCGCGAAATCTCGAACAAGGCCCCGAATCGGAATGTCTTTGGACTTCACGGTTGTTGTCTCGCTGGCTCTCTCTCTCCTCTGTCTGTCTGTCTGGCTGTCTGTCAGGGGGGGGGGGGGGGGGGGTGGGGGGGGGGCTGTCGCTGTCTGCCTTGCCGCCTGTCTGTCTGTTTTTCTGTCTGTCTGTCTGTCTGTCTGTCTGTCTGTCCTGTCTGTCTGTGCTGTCTCTCTCTCTGCTTCGTAGTCCAACACCTCGTCTGGGCTGTCAGTATTTCCTCGCTCGTGAAATGGTCATCTGATTTGGGAGCCGGATTTTTGACAATTCTTTCCTTTTTTCCTTTCACGAAGCCCCACTACAGCTACACTTTCGCGAGAGACACGATAAGTTTATAAGACTTGTAGGATTAATGCGCCCAGCAGGACAGAATTCGGCGCTCCTGAGCAGGCAATGCGTGGTGCCTTTTCCAGAAAGGTACCCCTATAGCGTTTTATCAAGCTGCAACACGATAAGGGAACATGATTCGATGCTCACAAATGTCCGACCGATGCTGATGGTCGTATTGCTTCATTTGCGACGTATACTTAGTTCGCCGCAGACGAACTAAAACGAACGAAACGAAATGTGAGGCGGTATGAGTGTGCCGCGGCGCCAAACCCGTGCTCTGTCAGATATTGAAGCGGGTAGTGACAATAGGCAGAAAACAAGTGATACGAACGATATGATACAGTCTTGTCATTTGCTCGCTCTGGTGGAGAACGGCTTCGTGCAGCCTTATCTACAGTAATGGTTACTGACACGATGCCAACGGTAAACTCGTCCGAAACTGCTTTCTGAGTCATGAAGAACAACGGGTTTTTTTGCAGATTTTTTGATCGTTTTACTTCGCTTCTCTTCATTTTACCACTATGAGCACCTCTGCTAGCGTTTCACAACAAGTTCCAAATTATTCTGCCTTATGTCTTCAAAGTCCTCGACACCTTATCCTGCTATCGTTAAATATACTTAGAAACATACTGCTACGTGATAGTTTAAGGGCAACAAGCAAAGAGACTACATCTCTGTTAAGTGTCATTTTATTTCAGTGTGAAGTTGGTCTCAGTTGTTGAAATTCTTGTAGAGGGAATGTATTTCCTGTCACAAATGAATTCACTCGCAGGACCTTTCATCGCGTCCACCTGAAAGGTTATCAGCCATACAGTGGAGGCTAAGCTTTATTGGCTTTGACGCTTTTGCGAAACAATGACATTTTTGCGTGAGTCATTATGAGCTGGGTTCATCACACTTCGCGAAGCAAGAAATTTGGTCTCTAGATTTTGTCAAATGGGAGGCATTTTCTCGGGATCGACACATTTG